TCCTAAAAAGCGTTGCTTACTTGTCCGGTGCATAAAATTTCAAAACTTTGAATTTGGCTGAAACTTCGTGTAGGAAGTTTATTGGTCTGATTCAGTACTTGCTTTCGTAAAATTGGATAGAGAAGCTGTTTCATGTGCGAAACGTCGTAGTCAAAACGTCCAAATCAAAATGTCGTTCTATTCGGTCGTCGCAGGAACAGTCTACCTGGGGAAAAGTTTCAGGGTAATGCAGCGGTTTCATCGATAATTCTCTAGAAGCTAACTTTTCTGACATCTCTCCTTTCCCATCAACTCTTGAAAAACGTCAACGAAATGTGCTGCTTTATCTGCATCAGTTGCCGCGACGTATGGCGGAGATCGATACCCGATGCAAGTGTTGCCGCAATTTCCTCAGCACCTTTTGTGCCAGAACGCTAGCTCGGCTGCCATAAATAGCTGCGGCGCCTCAATTTAATGCTTCTTCGTCTTCTAATATCGTGTTGTAACTTTCATCTTTCGTTTTATCGCCTTGCTCTGCGTTCGGTTGGATTTGAGATGCATAGATATGCTACCGCTCAATACGATTTTTTGAAAAAGCAGGATAACCTGTCAGATTAAGTAGATTGCTGGGTAGATTCGATAGCCGCTCGAAATTCTCTTATAGAAACTATAAAGACGTTGGAAAGGTTAGGAATTACAAATGGAAGACCAATTTGTCGGATAGCAGTCGCTCCACTGGTCTTCATTGTGGTCACTTTCTCGAAGGCAGTGGGTTTGCTAGTGAATCTTTGACAATGTGTGTCTTTGGAACAAGAACCATGCGAGCATACGTATCATGGTATGGTTATCTTCGTATAGTTTGCTGAGCTCTTCTTTAGGTGTCAGTAGAATTGTTAGTAATAACAGTATTTTCTTTTCCGTGATTCAATGGCATAGAAATAACTTTTGGAAACTCTTTCGATCATGCGTCCTGTTTGTAGTTGCCTAGTTCTCGTCGTTCATATCGGGCAAGCGTAGGCGATGAACCATCTATACGCCGATCTTTGGGGGCAACTAATCATTACTACTGTACATATGGTTAATCTTAATTCAAATCACATACAAACAGATAATATATAACATTTGTGCAAATTAGAAGAGCAAAAACAATTCACTCTTTCTTAACTTTCTTTGCTATTGAAAGACATTTCAAAAGCACTTTGATTATCACATAATTGGCAATAGCAAAGATTGTTATGAGAAGTAGTGCAACATCGATTAAATAGTATTGTATAATTGACAGCTGCCATCCGTACGGATTCAAACTAGGCAGACGACCAAATCTTAACGAAATTTGTCAGCAGGTAAGATGTGATACAAATCTTACTTTGCAGCAAATTCGCTATGTCGAAGGAATAGTCGTTTTGGGCTTATTGGCTGGTTGCGTAACATCTCACTCAAACGTTGAGCGTTTCGAGCGTAGCTAAATTTGGGAAAATTAAAGGCTAACTTCGGTGAAGTCAGTAACTTCTCTTCGAGCTTTGTTGCTCCAGTCAGATGAGAAAATACCTTGGATTGCTAAGAATAGCTCTGAGGGTTTCTTGCAATTTTTCAGGAGTGTCCAAGTCGTATTTTGTCAGACAAATAGCACCTCTATGTTTGGTAAGCATTTTAGCATTTCGCGGCTGATCACCGA